ACGCTAGGGGCTGCAGTCTTTAGCCTCCTTGTTAGTGCGTCCGCCTCCCATGCCGGAGACCCACTCGGAACGAGAACGTGGTGTGGCGGTGAGGACCTGAGAGAGAGGGGTTACATAAACGCGAATCGTTTTGAACATGTCATGTATACGTGAAACTTTTTAAAAACGCAAGGGAAAAACTTTTCCGTTTTTGACTACATTGTTGTCATGTAAACGTAGCCTTAGTTTCTCTATGAGCTGGGCTCTTTCTCTATTAGCCTCACAGTGTAAAAGCACAACTGTCTCCGACATTTCACAATGAGTAAAATCAAATTCTCTTTCTCTATATAGAAAGAATAATTAAGTCTGGTATGCCCAACACAGAGCCATGTTATAGTGTCCTTTTTCCATATTTACACCTTTTTTTATCCCAACTTTAGATTAGATATTAAAAATGTCTCCTTTTCATCTCTATATTCCCTTTTTTTTGCCACATCTTTTTTAAGCCTGTTTTAATAATAATTTTTTTGGGATGCGATTTTAACATCAATATTGTAGCCACCTCATTGCTCTCACCTCTACATGTGGTATTCATACAGATGAGATGTTTAATCCTTATTTGACTTATTCTATACAAATGTTGTAGTATTTCATTTCTTGTCTAAACTTGTTATGGCTGATTATGAATCTGAACAAACCACTAAATTTATAGGATGATTTTCTGCCACCCACTGCATAGTCATTAATAGGCTATTGCTGTCGTTTGTGTTGTAAATGCAAAAATATAATTTGATCATCTTTAAAATAATGAATATATGCATCAAAAGTCAAGTCAAGTCAAAATTGATTTCTATAGCACATTAAAAGTAAGCACAGTAAGTGCTGTATAACAAAACACAGTATATAAAGCATAATAGGAAACATGCATCATATGATAAATAAACACATTAAAGTGAATCAGAGCAAACTGACATCAAAACCTTAAACTGACATTAATCAAAAGCCAGAGAAAAATAAGATTTGAGAACAGATTTAAAACTGGCTAGTGAAGGAGCAAGTCTCACATTTACAGGCAAACTATTCTAAAGTTTAGGAGCTGCAGCTGAAAAAGCCCGACCACCCTTGGTTTTGCAGAGACAACGTGGGACAGTTAAGAGAAGCTGATTACTAGACCTAAGAGCTCTTTGAGGAGAGTAAGGAATCAGAAGGTCACTGATGTATTTTGGTGCAAGACCAGATAAAGCCTTGTACACAAAGACAGCTATTCTTCCAGCTATCCATCCCAATATATGCCTAGTCAGATATATTTGAAGTACATATTTGAATACTCATAATATTTTTTAATTTTGATTCAGAGAATGGTTAGAGTCGGACTTCGCAGGTTCGAGTCTCGTACTGGCAGGGATTGTAGGTGGGGGGAGTGAATGACCAGCACTCTCTCCCACCTTCAATACCACGACTGAGGTGAGACCCTTGAGCAAGGCACCGAACCTCCAACTGCTCCCCGGGTGCCGCAGCAAAAATGGCTGCCCACTGCTCCGGGTGTGTGTGTGTGTTCGTGTTCACTACTCACTGCTGTGTGTGTGCACTTGGATGGGTTAAATGCAGAGCACAAATTCAGAGTATGGGACACCATACTTGGCCACACGTCCTTTCCCTTTCCCTTTCCCTTTCCCTTTCCCTTTCCCTTTCCCTTTCCCTTTTCCTTTTCCTTTCTAAATACATTTTTAGAAACACCTCTTTGGTTTTCATTTATTTCACTGTGAAGCTGAAGATCTACAGTTGGGTATAGATCTTATAAATCTTTCTGGGTTTGTGTTTTTTTTTTATGCAGTTGAGACAGTTAATAAGGGAATGTCTGTTTGACAAGATCACTTAAAGACACAAAGATTTCACCAGGGAATAAAAAATGTGTAGACTTGCAGCACTACCTTTCACAGACGTGTTTATACACAGTACTTATTATCCATGTTATACTTAATGGTCATTTTAAAATTATTTGTAATAATTATTTTAACCCTTCATAATAACACAAACATGCACTACACATTAATAAAACACAAACATTCTTCATATTTAAATGGTATTTAGTTATTTGTAGACAAACTTAATAGAGTGCACTTCCATGAAAACCGATGGTTTGTAAAAGCTGTCATTATACATATTTGGGTTGAGTTTTCGTTACATCTTTTTACCAGCAGATGCTGCCAGCCTGTGGAATTTCAAGCGGTTCTTAACAGAATCATTTGACATACAATGGAAAAGAAAAATATTTTTATACACTTTTATTTACAGCACCACAAGAGAAAGACTCCCTACAGTGTGGATAAAGTGTTTATAATCAATTTATAACCATGGGTTTTCAAAGTGAACGACAGCAGGGTTCCCTTTGGACATAACATACACAATGCCGCCTCCTTCCACCACAATAATTTTTATTGTTGTTGACATTTTGCCAAGTATGGTGTCCCATTCTCAGAATTTGCGCTCTGCATTTAACCTATCCAAGTGCACACTGCTGTGACACCCAGGGAGCAGTTGGGGGCTTGGTGTCATGCTCAAGGGTCTCACCTCAGTCGTGGAGGGTGGAAGAGAGCACTGGTCAGTCACTCCCCCCATCTACAATCCCTGCCGGTACCGAGACTCGAACCTGCAGCCTTCGGGTTACAAGTCTGACTCTCTAATCATTAGGACACAACTGCCTACTATTGAAACTAATTTTCAATATCATTTTCAATAGTAATTCAGTTCCCTAAACAGCTTATTAGACATGTATATGAATTTTACTATCAGTTGGAAAAGTGAGTGGATGGGTGTAACTAATTTCATTGCAGGTAATTTCCTTAAAAGTCCATCTGCTTCATCTATGGTAATTATACACAATAACAAATCTAATCTGAAACAATGCACACACAGTATATGAATGTTCATTTTATAGTCAAATTTAGTTTTTAAGAAGTTTGACCATTCATATATCAGGAAAAAGTTAAACATTTACATAACATTACACACGAGTCACCTTAAAAATGTTCTTGATGTTCACACATGGCTCATTTTAGAAAATGTAAAAAAAGTAAGTTTTTTTTTTGTTTGTTTGTTGCAAAACTTTGCAAAAAAATAAAAATAATTGCTTGACGTGTTCACCTAAAAAGTGCCATATTTGTTAGTTTCACTCTTCAAGGTAAAAAACAAAACAAAAAACTTCTGGTCAAAGCCAATTAATTTACATACACTGTTTGAAATCACAAAATGCACAATTTCCTTTATACCTCTTTAGATCATGCTGTGTCAGACCTATAGTGTTGCAATACTGACATTGTGGCGACAATGTGGTGGCTCATTTACTTTCTGTGATGGTCCAATAATGGATAAAATGTTGTTTATAAAATGTTGCTTTACTTACAGTGCATGCATTAAATAAATACAGGTCCACTTGCAATTAGTGTTCTGGTACAGCGAGGTGTGCTGTGATTGGCCAGCTATCCAGTGCGTTGTGATTGGCTGAATACCTCAAGCGTGAGA